TTTCCTAATCGTTTGGAGATTTTCAGGTTCATCACTCTGAATCGTTTGACGGGTCGTTATCTCAATTTATTGCAGGAATCCACCCATATACTTTTCAATAATAAAAAATTGAAGGCAAAACCCTTAGCAAAACTACCAACAAAATGATAAAAATCAAAAAGGCTAAAATTTATTTGATATTTTAAACCAATTCTTATCACAACTAACTGGAAATTATATCACAATTTTATTGTCTGAAAATAATACTAGCAATGAAAAATGAAACTTTAAAGGAGTTTAAAAGGTTGGAATATTATTTTTTGTGGGATCCAAAGGGAAAATGCTACGTTTACCAACTCTTTTGCCAAATTATAGATCCTAGATGTAGCAAATTGAGAGCCATTTTGATAGTTAATGAAAGCTTGTGGGACTCATTGATCCTATGAATCTCATTAATTTGGAATATAAATTTTGATAGATGTAGCATTGTTGGATCCAAAAACTGTTTGTAAATGTTCTCAAGAAAATATGATGGTACATTGGATTCAACAATCCAACAAACATTAGATAAAAAACTTGGTAAGTATAACATTGTCGTAAAATTATTCGAATAGATGGAGATATAAATCTTGTACAACACATTAATTTGAAATTAGTTTTTTCTTATTTTAAAAATATATCAATTTTAGGATTCGAAATAGATTTACTCAATTTGAGCAATACTATTTAATTTGTTGACTTAATTTAGTACAAATATTAGATTAATTGAGAGTCCATCAACTATTAAAACTTGGTGTTAATCTAATAATTATAATAAAATCACATTATTAAGTAAGAAAATTAAATTAAAATTTTAAGTCTAAATATAATTACTCAATTTATTAACATGAATAAACTTTTACTATTTATAAATGATTAGAGGATCTTTGAATTAATTAGTAATTAGAGGAAGCCAAACGACCTTTTGTATGATACGTGAGATCAATGTGAGTACGTGCCAAAATTTGAGAATATTGCGCCAAGTTGCGCTCCTATCACAGAGGAAATGTTTCCTGCCATTAATTATACGGATCAAACATCAGTTTTTGACTCTCTCCATTGCCGAGTCTCAAAGCTCCCCAATCCTTGGGTAATTTTTGATTTGTTGACCTCGGAATCTGATAACATTTGTCATCGAACCCTGTTTGTTTTCTGAGAAAACAGAGGTAGGAAAAAGAAAGTATAATGAACTCCTCGAATCTTATGTTATTTCAGAATACATACGTTCCCATTTTCGCATCTATACTTTTCGTCTTGGGTCACAAGTAACAAAATATTCGAGTTTCCGGCGATTTGAATTTCCTTTCTATTGTCTGGTTTTCTCAGCAACCCAATGGTGCATGTAACTTCAGAATATTGGAGATCGTTTTCTTGTAACGCATGCTTTGAATTGATATGAATGTTTTTGTTGGCTTATATTTTGTAAGTATTAGTATTTTTTTTTTAACGTAGGGGTGTCTGAGCCAGGTTTGATCAAGGACAGATTATGCACGCTAATACTAGGATATTCCTAATGGACTCGTCCCAAGAAGTTGTCATTTGACCTATCTTGTATGGAGATTGTGAAATTGTTGTTACATGTTTGATTTTGAGCCAAAAATTTACCCATTAAAGGATTCTGAAAGGATTCCACAATAGAAGCATCATCACTTTGTGTGTGTGTGTGTGTTTTACCTATGCATACGGAAAACATGGTCTGAAAGTTATATTATAGGTGCAATTGTTTGTCATAGGATCTTGCAGGAATGGTTTGGTCATTTCATTTGATGTTCATAAAAATTTAGACCCGAGTCCTTTGCATAATGTAATATTATTGTCAGTCTCTTACAAAATCATCTTTCCTAGTGGATCAATGTTAGAAATTTTGAGCTTCAATGAAATAAATGGGAATATCGTCCTGGAACTCCAAATATAGTATGNATGTAATATTATTGTCAGTCTCTTACAAAATCATCTTTCCTAGTGGATCAATGTTAGGAATTTTGAGCTTCAATGAAATAAATGGGAATATCGTCCTGGAACTCCAAATATAGTATGANTTGATAGGACATTAGGCGGCTTGCCAGTAAAAAGTGGACATGTGGGTAGCTACAATCGTTAAAATGTGCAAAATGCTTGAGGAGTTATGTTAGACAAGCCCGAGTACGCCCCTCAAAGCCTAGCATTAAATAAGATTAGATTGCTCATTAATGTGGGTCTTGAGTGGTTTGACAAAGCCATTAATGAGTGTCCAGATCCTCAAAGAGTGTGGAGACAGTCATCATTAGGAGACATTAGTGACCATCATGCCGACATGAAGACCTTGGGGTAGCCTGATGAATGTTTATTCCGCCTCATGAAAGCTTAGACATAGATTCCAAGCGCTGATATGAGGTATTTAATGACTAGGGATTGGGTCATGAATGCTCGGTGGTTCTCAAGCAAGGGCCCACTTGACCGAGAAGACTAGTCTTAATGAAAGTTGATGAAATGTCACTCATTATGCTAGAAAATGAGCACAGACTATTGAAATCTAAGATGAGACTCAAGGGTAGGGTCATCATTGCAAACCCATATATAAAATACCCCTCACAAAGGCTAGACCAAGGTATGCAATTTCAAATGAAGAATACACTGTGCATTATGATTGAGAAGCAGACTGACTTGAGCTTCGGAGGAGATTAGCTGGATACACACCCGGCCCCTTTCCTAATCGTTTGGAGATTTTCAGGTTCATCACTCTGAATCGTTTGACGGGTCGTTATCTCAATTTATTGCAGGAATCCACCCATATACTTTTCAATAATAAAAAATTGAAGGCAAAACCCTTAGCAAAACTACCAACAAAATGATAAAAATCAAAAAGGCTAAAATTTATTTGATATTTTAAACCAATTCTTATCACAACTAACTGGAAATTATATCACAATTTTATTGTCTGAAAATAATACTAGCAATGAAAAATGAAACTTTAAAGGAGTTTAAAAGGTTGGAATATTATTTTTTGTGGGATCCAAAGGGAAAATGCTACGTTTACCAACTCTTTTGCCAAATTATAGATCCTAGATGTAGCAAATTGAGAGCCATTTTGATAGTTAATGAAAGCTTGTGGGACTCATTGATCCTATGAATCTCATTAATTTGGAATATAAATTTTGATAGATGTAGCATTGTTGGATCCAAAAACTGTTTGTAAATGTTCTCAAGAAAATATGATGGTACATTGGATTCAACAATCCAACAAACATTAGATAAAAAACTTGGTAAGTATAACATTGTCGTAAAATTATTCGAATAGATGGAGATATAAATCTTGTACAACACATTAATTTGAAATTAGTTTTTTCTTATTTTAAAAATATATCAATTTTAGGATTCGAAATAGATTTACTCAATTTGAGCAATACTATTTAATTTGTTGACTTAATTTAGTACAAATATTAGATTAATTGAGAGTCCATCAACTATTAAAACTTGGTGTTAATCTAATAATTATAATAAAATCACATTATTAAGTAAGAAAATTAAATTAAAATTTTAAGTCTAAATATAATTACTCAATTTATTAACATGAATAAACTTTTACTATTTATAAATGATTAGAGGATCTTTGAATTAATTAGTAATTAGAGGAAGCCAAACGACCTTTTGTATGATACGTGAGATCAATGTGAGTACGTGCCAAAATTTGAGAATATTGCGCCAAGTTGCGCTCCTATCACAGAGGAAATGTTTCCTGCCATTAATTATACGGATCAAACATCAGTTTTTGACTCTCTCCATTGCCGAGTCTCAAAGCTCCCCAATCCTTGGGTAATTTTTGATTTGTTGACCTCGGAATCTGATAACATTTGTCATCGAACCCTGTTTGTTTTCTGAGAAAACAGAGGTAGGAAAAAGAAAGTATAATGAACTCCTCGAATCTTATGTTATTTCAGAATACATACGTTCCCATTTTCGCATCTATACTTTTCGTCTTGGGTCACAAGTAACAAAATATTCGAGTTTCCGGCGATTTGAATTTCCTTTCTATTGTCTGGTTTTCTCAGCAACCCAATGGTGCATGTAACTTCAGAATATTGGAGATCGTTTTCTTGTAACGCATGCTTTGAATTGATATGAATGTTTTTGTTGGCTTATATTTTGTAAGTATTAGTATTTTTTTTTTAACGTAGGGGTGTCTGAGCCAGGTTTGATCAAGGACAGATTATGCACGCTAATACTAGGATATTCCTAATGGACTCGTCCCAAGAAGTTGTCATTTGACCTATCTTGTATGGAGATTGTGAAATTGTTGTTACATGTTTGATTTTGAGCCAAAAATTTACCCATTAAAGGATTCTGAAAGGATTCCACAATAGAAGCATCATCACTTTGTGTGTGTGTGTGTGTTTTACCTATGCATACGGAAAACATGGTCTGAAAGTTATATTATAGGTGCAATTGTTTGTCATAGGATCTTGCAGGAATGGTTTGGTCATTTCATTTGATGTTCATAAAAATTTAGACCCGAGTCCTTTGCATAATGTAATATTATTGTCAGTCTCTTACAAAATCATCTTTCCTAGTGGATCAATGTTAGAAATTTTGAGCTTCAATGAAATAAATGGGAATATCGTCCTGGAACTCCAAATATAGTATGAACTCTGATAAATCATTGTAAAACACTAGGACCGATAATTCCCCTTTTTATTTGCAAGGACAACATTCTAGTGAATTTGTTTTTTTTGTGCATCATTTATGTATTCTCATTTTTCTTGTCCAGAATTGCTAGAATTTAGCAGTTGGTGAACATTTTTATTTGAGCCGGGAATCAGATGCTTTATTTGAATATTTGATATTTCTGTGACTGGCAACTTGAGTTTTGCAAACTATATTCGTTCAATGAGCTTCTGTTTACATTGCAGGCTGTTTTAATATGGAAACTAAACTCTTGGATTGCATTTCCCAGATATTCAGTGTTTGTGCTATGGATGGAGAGGCCTTGACTTGATGCCTGCTTTCTATGCAAAATTTTCTAAAAATTTGGAGTAGAGATGGCTAAGCATCTGTGGAAAGAGTCAATGAAGTCCTTTACGAGTCATCTTGATCCTGAAAAAGATGATCAACTGAAATGGATAAAAATAGGTAAGCATTCCTCTCCCTGACCACCTCAATCCTTGCAATATTATTGGAGGTCGTGGGATAGCACTATAGAGGCCAAAAGAATGCAATTTAAAGCTCAGCTACCATCCCTATGTTATCCAGATTGTTGATTTTTGTGGGGTGCAAAACATCAATGGGTACACAGAGAGCTGCTCATCCCTGAACGAGGTATCATGGGAGTAGGCTTGTGTGACTTGAAACCCTAGAATAAATTACTTGGTCTGAAGCTAGAATGTAATAATGTAGCTGTAAATAGACCATGATACAAGTACATCATCTTGAAATCAAAATAATTCAATCACCAGTAAAATAAGAAAATGAAAAAGGTACAACTAGTTCATTCACTCTAGTAACATGTTCAATATGAACTAAATTTGCTAGGCCACAGCACTCCTCATTATGTATAAGGGTCTGGCTCTTTAGATATTGTGTTTAACCTGATGCTGTTCATGCTTTGTGAACTCGTTGAAAAAGGGATATTGAGAATAAGACTGAGTGAATCATTTGAACAATGAAGATCTATTGTTCCTTCACCTTGGAGTCAATTAATGACAAATCATCCAGTTCTTTAAGATATTAAGATACTGATTAAGGTTGCAATGACATAGTGTTCTAGTCTGCAAATTCATCCACTTAGGCTTATCTTATATCCTTCCCATTCAAAGCACAGCAGCAGGAGTTTGAGCTTGATAAGATAACATTTGCTAAAAAAAAATGATGCAGATCTCAATCTGATGTTTGAGGAAGTGCTTAGTTTGAAAGAGAATTTATTTACTCTGGTAACCTTATTTACTACTTGGGTGTTATATTTAGAATCATTGATGTCTTGAATGTGTATCTCTTCGTTGGAAGCTTAGAATTTGAGCATTTGAAATCTTATTCTGCTGCACTTTATGCTGTTCGTCTTTGCATCTTCACATTGTCTAATGTGCAAGGATTGAATTCAGAAGTTTCTTATCTATTGCAGAAATCGAAAATAAAGTCAGAAGGAGCTTGACGCTTATCAAGAGTGTAAACCAAGGGAATAGAGATGGGAACTCCAAGAAAAAGTCAGAACTCATTCAACTCGTTGAGGATTTCCACAAAGAGTACCAATCACTTTATGCTCTTTATGAGAATCTGAAGGGAGAGGTAAGAAAAAAGGTTCATAGCAGAGAAGAGGACTCTTCTTCATCTTTTTCTACCGCCAGTTCAGATTCAGAATCCTTCTATTCCCCAGATGAAGTAGGCAGTAAAAACAGTGAATCAAAAGATGAGCTGCAGAAGGTGAAATATAGCTATAATCAGAAACTTGAAACTTCAGATTCAGAAGACGCTGTCCTGAAAGATAAATTGACCTCATCAAGTGTAGTAAAGGAAACCTTAAATTTGGGATCTGTGTCATCCTTGGGCCGAGTACAAGAATCAGGAGAAATCATCAAAGACCTAAGGATTGATGCCGAGGAAACAGACAACACAAGACAAAAGTTCATCGTTGAATCTGCCTGGTTAACAGATAAATTGAATGAAAAAGAGGAAATATTGTCGTCTCTCACCAAGAATGAGGCTAAAGCATCAGTTCAGATAAAGGAGTTAGAGATCGAGGTAGCTAGTTTGAAGGTTCAGCTTGAAACATTGTGCACACAGAAAAGGGAACTTGAAGAGCAAATTGTCTGCAAGGCAACTGAAGCTAAACAACAATTAGAAGAGAATTTAGGACTGCAAACTCAGATTGCAGAACTTGAAAATACATCTAGAGGGAAAGAAGATGAACTTTCTGCCCTTCTGACAAAATTTGAGGAAAATGAGAAGCATTCAATGTCTACCATTCAAAGCTTGATGGTACAGGCCAAAAATCTGCAATTGGAGGTGGATTCATTATGTGCCAGCAAATGTGAATTGGAAGAACGGTTATTAAGTGAAACCAAAAAAGGATCAGCTCAAGATAAGTGCTTAAGGGACCAGGTTAATGATCTGCAACAGGAACTGGAGTCCCTAAGCAGACAGAAATCTGAGTTGGAATTGCAACTCAAAACTAAATCTCAAGAAGTGTTAGAGTGCGTCTGTGAGGCAAAAAATTTGAAAGAGAAACTAGCAAGAAAGTCGGTGGATGAACAGGAAACACTAGAAGAGAAGGAGGGTTTCAGAATGCAGGTAAAAGACTTGGAATCGGAGGTGACTTCTCTATGTGGCCAGCAAAGTGACTTGGAAGAGCAGATGCTAATTATAAACCACAATGTCGATCAGTCAAGAGTGGAAAAGGAGGCGCTGCATGCAACAATTTCAGAGTTAGAGAGAACATTAGTGGGGAGGACAGATGAGGTTGCTGCTCTCCAAAAGAAAATTAATGTTCATGAGGATGACATGTCCCCTCAGATAATATCCTTAATTGCTCAGGCGAACTCTCTGCAGCAGGAAGTGGATTTACTGCAGTCTGAGAAAAGCCAATTGCAGTTACAGCTTGAGAGACAGCAAAAAGAGTCTTCACAAAGCCTGACTAGAATTGAAAAACAAAAAATCAAGTCAACAAACAAAATTGCAGATCAGCACAGTATTGCGAAAGAGATCGAGGGCGTTACAGACAAGTTAAATCAAGAACACAGGCAAACTAAAGGTAAGTTCATTGATTCTAAGTCGACTCTGCAAATTGCAGAAAAGAAGATGGAAGATATGGCAGAAGACTTCCGCAAGAAATTTGAAGATAATCTCCGTATATTGAGCAGGAGAATTCGGGTAGCAGAACAATTACATGCTGAGAACAAAGATTGGTACAGGAAGACAAAAGAGAATTATGAGCAAGAATACAGAGACCTCAAGGAAAGGTTGACAGCCAATGAAATTGCAGTCCGGAAAATTAAGGATATCTCACTGACAGCCAACGAAATGCTGACTGCATTGGACACAGTGGCCTTGAAATTCGAGGAGTGCAGTGCCAACTTCCCCAACCGAATTTCCAAAGTGTTTTGTGAAGTGATGTTTGCAAAGGATTGGGTCACGAGGAAAAACCAAGAGATAAAACATGTGAAGGAAGATTCTGATTGTCTGCTTGTGCAGTTGGATGATAAGGAAGCAGAGATATTGGTATTCAGAGAGAAGGTTTGGAAGTTAGAATACAAGGTGAGAGAACTGGAGAAGATGGCGAAAGAGAAAGACGAGGTGATGTTGGGTCTTAAGGAGGAAAAGAGGGAGGCAATAAGGCAGTTATGCGTGTGGATTGATTACCACCGCAGTCGCTCTGATTTCTACAAGAAGATGATAACTGAGATGAATGCCAGAACTAGAAGCCAGAGGACACCTTAGAACATTCTTGCTGATTTCTCATTCCAATTTTGCCTGTTGTTGCTCGATAAATCGTTTACTATTGTTACATTATTTGCAACCTTAACTTGCCCCTTTTGTCCTCCACATTGTCAAGTGCCGTGCTTCTTCTACATTGACTGGTCTTTACTTTTAGTTTACAGCAAATATCAGAACTGACTTTGAATGGAGTCTGGAAGTTTAATGGTTAAATTGAACGGATGAACAATACATAGTTCAGGACTGGACTTGGTACTACATAATAATATATCATACAATTGAAGCTCAGAAACAGTGCAATGAGGAGCTGGTTTATGATGATTCTTAGCATTTTTAACAGGGTTTGAGTTTTAATGAGACTATAATAAGTTTTGTTTTAACAGATTTCAAACAAAATCTCAAAAAAATACTAAGTTGAAATTTTTTTAAATGAAAATATATATATATATATGAAAAAAAACTGTTCAACAGGTCGCCCGGTGAATGACGGATTGAACTTCTTACACGAAGTCTGACCCATTCGATAACTTACTCGTAAAAATTGAATTTCTTACACGAAGTCTGACCCATTCGATAACTTACTCGTAAAAAAAAATTTAACGGGCTCAGCTCAGCCCCAACCATGTACGTCCCTTACAGACAGAACCCTTTCAAAAACGTCAAAAAAAAAAATTCAGGCATATTTATCCACTGCAATGGTGTGAAGGATAATTGGGTGATAATTGGACCTAAACTTTTCACTGTTGCCCTAATTCAATAAAGAATATATAGAAAATAAGAACAAACAAAGAGTGTACCGTTCTATTTTCTGTAATAATTCCAACATCAAAGGGGTTATATGAAAGAAAGAGGCCCCACCTGGATTGAAGCTATAAATGCCGTACAAGTCTCGCGGAGGTTGCTGTACTCCTTTTTTTGTCTGTTTAAACTCTCTCTCTCTCTCTGACACACACTCACACAAAACCGAAGCAGATCCAATACCTCTCTCTCTCTCTGTTGCGGACTCCACAGATTAAGGTTTCTCCGCCTGCGGATACCGAGTTTTCGAGCTGTGATTCTCAGGTAATTCGTTTATTTAGCCTTGTTATTATGAAATTGATTCATCAAAATCAGATATATAATTAGACTATAAGCAACTGAAATTCAGTTGTCTCGTTAACAGTTAATTCTGACAGTATTGGTTTAGATTCTTGGCTGCTGAATTATGATCTAGCAGTTGTAAGTTTTTTTTTTCTTCGAGAACTCCGGTGAGAAGTTTAAAGTTGAGTCGGAGATTGACAACCTGCTTGATTTGATCAACTCGGTTTTTGAAGTTACTGGACTTAATAACAAATTTCTTGATAAATTTGTAAGTTTTACTACTTGCTTCTGTCCAGTGGTGATTCGATCCAATCCAAGTTCTTCTTCTACCATATTATACTTCAACCATTCAGTTTTCATAACTTTATATCGAGTCGAGTAGATCGATCTTCGAAGACGAGGTTAGATTGGTGTGTGTGAGTTTGATTGTTTTACACTTTTACTCATGCCCGGCTCAACAGTAGAGCCAAAAAAAAAAAAAATGGAAAATGGGCCCCACAGAAAAAACGGGAAATAAAATTCCATTTACACCCTTGGAGAGATGTCTAAATTCAACGCTATCTCCGCGCCATTTTAAAATTTTATTGCACCTCCTTCTAATTTATCCTATGTAGACACTAACTTCTATATCTGACTGTAGATAAAGTGCACAATTTAACTATTTATTCTTTAAAAGTACTAAAATTATCATCTAATATGTTAATAGACTAAAACGTCTTGTGTCAGCGTTGTATAAAGTTTAATTTTTTTTTTTGATAAGTAAGATAATATATTTATATCTAATAAAATTATTTTTTACAAAATAAAATAATTCAACATAATAAGGTAAAAAATGCATACAAACAAAACAAAATAAAAAAATTTTAATTTTAATATTTTACCAAAATATAAGGTTAATTATAGTCATCTTCAATTGATCTAAATGAATTTTTATCATTTTAAAGCATTATTTGATAATTTTGTTATAAATACTACCGAGAATATATATATATTAGTCATCATTTTATCACTCATTTGGTTATATAAACGACTTTTATCACTCATTTAGTTAATTGACCAAAAAAGAAATAATCACTCATTTGGTTATATAAATGACCATTTATAATTTTTATAGTTTAAAATAGTTTCGCTAATAAAAATTACAATCGATAAAGTTAATGTCAATGCCTTACCCATCTTCAACTCTTCTGTTATCGTCTGTTCTCCACAACGTCACCTGACCACTCTTCACACATCATTATTTACATATCAGATTTAAATATTATTTGATAAAATTTAATGTTAATTGAATAAATAAATTTAAATATTAATTTAGTGTTAATTTGATAAACTTTAATATTAATTGAATAAATTTGAATGTTAATTTAATATTAAATTAAAGAAATGACATTAATTTGATGAGGTTAAATGTTAAATTAATAAAATTTAATATAATTAAAATTGAATGTCAATTTGATATTGATTTGATGAAATTAAATAACAATTTAATGTTACATTAAAGAAATAATATTAATTAAATTAAATTAAATATCAATTTTATGTTGATTTGATGATATTGAATGCTAATTTAGTTTAAATTAAAGAAAATACATTAATTTGAAAAAAATAAATATTAAATTGATGAACTTGTAGGTTAATATAATACAACTAAAAAGGAGTGTAGTGAAATTTTAAAATTAGGAGGAGGTGTCGTTGAAGCTAGGCCTTTACAATGGGCGTTAATGAAATTTTCCCTATAAAATACTAAGGGTATTTTTGTAAAATAATACTTGCCATTAACGCTACAAGCGGACAATAACTGACAGAGTTGTTAGTGAAATTTCAAAATCAATGTGTCATTGAATTCAGACATAATTACAGGGAGGGGGGTTGGATGAATTTTTTCCTATAAAAAAGGCCTCTAAAATCAAATTTTATAGTTTAATAAAGAAGTATAGATCAAATATTAAAATCTATTATAATTTAAATTAACAAAAAAACTCTTGAAAGATTAAGTTAACAAAATAAAATTTAAAATTTAGGTTCAAAAGTGTAGTCCACCTCACACATATACATTTATTAAAGGACAGAAAAAGAATTAAAACTTCGATAAAAAATATAATAATAAGCCTCTCTCTCTCTTCCATAAATAACAAAAAAAATCTAATAGTCGATCATGTAATATCACAATTTTTATGAAAAATATACAAAATAAATAAGAAAAACATAAAATAACAATGAATATAATAAATTATATTCTGAAAAGTGTGGGTCAAGTAAGAGATAAGAGGGACAAATAGATGTAAGAATCTATTTCCTAAAAAATGTTTACTTAGTCATGATGATGTATGAATATTTACAATTCCTATAAATTGTACTATTGAATAGTTGCACGTAGATAACATGAGTATGAAATAATACATATGCAATGTTTAATATAATATTAGATGCTTAAATTACTAAAAAAAAAAAATTATGTTACACCACACCGTAACGGTTCACAAATGATTTTTGATAAATTAAAAAAAATGCATAAAGTATGGAATAACACATATATTACCGTTAATTACTATGTGTTATCCAATAATTATTTTTTCTCAATTAATTGGTTTTATGGGCGAAAACTCGAGAGACGACCATAAATTATGATTGTTGTGAGATGCGCAAACACTTCAATAATTTGAATGGGAGGAAGCACAACAGGGCCGCCCCTAGGACCCGATCATTAAAATAGTCACGTAGAGTCCTAATTTATTTTTTAGCCCTTAGTTCAATTTCATGTTCTGAGGCCCTTTTGAATACCAAATTAAAAGTCCAATATATTTTACAAGTCTATCTAAAGTCTAATAAGAAGCTTTAAAATGTAACAATATTTTCATAATTCTATGTAAAGCCTTACAGAAAGTTCTTAAATATAACAAAGCATTATGAAAAAATCTAAACGTAACGACCTTTAGCTTTAAAAGTAGTAATTTGTCTCAAATTCTTTTCACTATTTTTTCTTCCATTCTCACCGCCTCTCTCCAACTCTTTCTTTTTTTCATACTCCCACTGTCTTGCTGTACTCTGTACTTATCTCTAGCCCGTTTGCTGTCTCTTTAAAACTTCATTCAATTTATTCATCTGTAAGATCCTGTTTCACAATTGCACCCAATTTATTACCTTGTTTCACAATTACAACCAATTTATTATCTGAAAATAAATCATGTGAAATATTGAAAATAGATTATACCGCAACTCTTTGTAAAATGTCTAATAATCCTAAGAAAATTTGTATTATCTTCCTAAAATATTAAATGAGGTTTCATGTGAAATTCTTACTTTAAGCTCTAATTTTTGTTGGGTCGCGCTTGGTTTTACATTTATTTTGAGTTCGAATGGTATGGTTTTGAGTCTTTTGACTAAAATTTCACCGAGTTGGTTAAGTTGAGATATTCGTCAGAGTTGATGTCCTATAATCAGAACAAATGTCCTTGTTTTTCTCTTGTTTATTTTGTTTTCTTGAATTGTAGACTAATCGGAATAAGTAATATGTAAATTCTATAATACGTTCTTCCTCGGTAATTTTTTCCTACTTAATCTTTATTCAACTTATTCATTTTATTTCTTTTTGTTAAACTTAGTGTGAGTATCTGGATTTTCAAACTTTCTTATTAATGAAATGTTTGTTAAGGATGTCCTTTAACCTGTATATCCTTTATATATTAAAGCATATAAAGGTAAACAACATATATTTTAATGTACATATTTAACTTTCCTTTCATTTTTTCTTCCAATTTTGGAGGGATAAATTTTGGTGAGTCGGAAAAAAAATTAGTCCATCAACTTTTCAATCCTTCATAATTTCCTTCCTTACTAAATATAGTTTTTTTTATCTATTTTTCTAACTTATTATCATTTTATTTTTCTATCCTGTACCTTTATGAATTTATCAAGTTAAAAGAGCTCATGTTTGTTTTAGTGTCTTTTTTTTCATGATTCATTCAAACTTTAAAAGAGTACCTAGCTGCTACTTAGATTTTAGATGTTGAGGTGGCGACAAGCATCTGGCCTTCTTCTAGTGTAACTTAATTTTGATTTTGGAGAACTGGCCAGGTATTCTAGATGTCTTTTTTGAATATGGAATATGACCTTAGATTATCTTGAAGTCATCATCAGCACATCACAAGTTTGGTTGAGCACAGTTTTGTTTAACATGCATTGCTAGGAACACTGGAACCTTCCTGTGATCATAAGCTCGTAAGTTAGATCCACATACTGGCCTCTATGACTTGGATGCTTCTGCATTTATGAATCAAATACTATGATCATAGGCTAGGGGCGTAGGCAAAACGTTGCAGAAACAGCTATAGTTTTTTTAGGTTCTGTTTGACAACACCTTTTGATAATTCTGCAAGTTTAAAAAGATAACTTTTAACTTTGTGTGGATTGATCCATAGGATACGTGGTTGCAAATCTATACAGAAACAGTTGTGGTAACATAAATTTACATTACATGTGGTTATAGTCAGGGAAAGGAAGGCTAACTTGGACCAAAAAAGCAAACAAGTATTTGCTTACAAATAAAAAAAAAAATATGACTATTTGGGTCAAACAACCAAGTTTGGGTAAACCCAAATACTACTTTTTTACTTTTTTTTGTTATTTAATTATTCGTGTTAATTTTATTTGTTGTGTCCACCCTTGAATTGATCTTAATTTGTATATTTATGAGATCTTTTGGCTTTAAATTCGTAATTTGAAGTAGGGATGTTCACCAAACCCTAAGGGTAGGAAATATAGTTTTTTGTCTTCCTACCTGATACTTTATGGAATAATTTTTTCTTGTCTTACCCTACTGTATCATTTTAATAATTCAATTAAATAACATGTATCAATTTAACAACACAATAAATCAATAACACTAAAAGCTAAAATAACTACAACAAAAATTACAATAAAACATAGAAAACATGAACATCAATCTATCATAATTGTTACACAAATACAGTAATAATTATCTTAAGTTTAAACCATATGAAACACATTAAAATCATAACTGTTCCAATAAATCACCAGTTTACTACAAATCATGTAACTTACATAAAAAACAAGTCCATGTTTTTGCAATTCAAACATCCACAACAATAACAATGTTATAATATAAATTATACTACACAAATACTCTTACAATTACTAAAAAAAATATAAAAAAATTAAACATATTTTTTGAGGGTAGGGTAATGTAGGAATGCGGAAATTGATGGGTATTCCGTATTCTTACTTGATTTAATCGAAAGACCAAAAACACTTCCCCATTCTTACCCGATTTTTGTGGTTAGTCATTCAGTAAGGTATGGTCGGGTAGGGTAGAAAATTGAGACCAATCAAAAATTTGAACACCCCTAATTTGGAGGTAAAAGTATTTGCAAATGAACTACTATAATTGATTTTTTTTGTCTAAGATTGATGATTGACTTATTTCAATTGGATTCTAATGGTATTATTACCCTTACTTCTTAAGTTTTTATTTGATTGTTTTACAATTTTAGTATAAAAAGATGTCAAAGTCAATTACAAATACATGTAATAAACCTTTCATTTTAGTAAGAGTTGTAATTAATCTGTTTTTATAGTTTTTCTTCATATAAGACAAACCTTTGACCCTTTTTGATTTAACGAGCTTTATGTATAATCTTACATTTATTTTGTATTTCTATATACATGTGAATTGAGTGTAATTGACGGTTGATTTCATTATGACTATTTAATAAATAGTAGTATTGCTCAGTAATGACCTTTTTCGTTTATATTAAAAGAAAGAATAATGCTACATGGACTTAAAGAGTAGATTTAAAAACTAGACTTGATAATCTCAACCATTGATTTTACTGTGGATCCTAGTATTTATTGGGATCTACTACCTATTCAATGGTTGAGATTATCAAATCTAATTTTTAAGTTTAGTTTTTAAGTTCATCTAGCATTACTCTAAAAGAAAGAGCTTATGACACTAAGCTTTTATAAGATTTTTTTTTGTGGGCGGTTTAGATTTTAATAGAGTTTAAATTTGTGATCTACACTATTTTATTAACATATGAAAAATATAGGGTCATTTTTGCGAAAACTTAAAGTTATTAATTTTTTTATGCTAGAGCTGACCTTAGTTAAAGTATCCACCCTTGAGTTAGTTTCTTTGTTAGAATAGCCATAGCAACCTCGTAGTGTCAATACCTAGAATTAAATCAACGTTCTTTGAAACTGTGGACAGACCTTAGTCCATTCATAGACTGGCGTGCCATTATTTATGCTCTGAAAGACATTGATTATTGGCTTGTCATACAAACGAATGTTAAGGTACATGGTCGATCAAAAAAGATGAATGTAATTTAGCCAAGTTTTCGGATCTACAACATACATGCCTCTATTGCAAATCACAAACTGGACTGTTATGCTACGTTTCTATTCATTTATTAGGGGATCCAGTTAATGATTCCTGTAAGATCCCCTCTTTCCCTGTAATTGCATTCTTAATCTTGATGTATTCCACAGTTTTTAGATTAGAAAATTGTTTGAAATTTCAGACCTTGCATTATCTATCTATGTGATAACTTATGTCTGAAAACACTGTACAAAAAATTGAACATTGTTCTTGAACACGGTCACTATGATCAACAAAACTATATGACAATTATCAGAAATTTCAATGAATATATAGAGTAATCAAACTTTAATAATCAAAGTCCCATTAATCTATATTGATAATGCATAAAAAAGCTTCACTTATCCAACTTAATGTCAGGATTTTGGTAAAATAAAGTGGGTCAGAATACTTTCTTTTCATTTGTTAGAAAAAATGCAATTAGAAGGAATGTTCAAGCCTAAATGTACCATTTATGCTAAAAAAAATTGTCAATTTTAATCAAAAAAAATTTACTTTGTTCTTTTAAAAATATTTGAACAACATTCCTCCTAAAAATAGGATCTCAATAACCTATTAACTTGTATAGAAAATCAATAAAACATTAATTACACAATCCACGCTCCAGAAAATGTTAATTAAACAAATAAACTTTAAAACTTGCATGACATTCCTTAACTTATATTGCACCAATACAATCAAATTGTGTTGTCTATTTTAAACGAAGACCCACAAAACAATTTGTGCTACTATACGATAGAGCAAATAAAATTGATGTTTTTAAAACATAAACAACATACCAATCTTATCCAGCTAAAATAGCATAAAACCATTCTTCCTACATAAACAACTAAACACAACAATTGCACCATATGAATAATTATAAAAGTGACAGATCAAACATAAGATTCTATGGTACAATTGTTTTCTAAAAAAATGGAATAAGCTCATAAAATTTTTCAATCCTATGCAACTTCAATCACACAACAAAATGACAAACTATTTCTAAATCAATCTCTACTTCAATGAATCAACAAAAATCAATCTTTGCCCAAATCAATGAATTACATTTTATACCTTCCTGCACGTATCAAACAGTTGGGTAACACATAAAATTTAAACGTAACAAAATTTATCAATAACNAAAATCAATCTTTGCCCAAATCAATGAATTACATTTTATACCTTCCTGCACGTATCAAACAGTTGGGTAACACATAAAATTTAAACGTAACAACATTTATCAATAATTGATAAGTGTGATTAATAATAGAATTGTTTTTCATAGCAAAGATGAACAATTTAATATCACCTAGTGGGGTGATACAGTGAAATACCGACCAAATTTTTTACCCTGATATTGGATGTTCGAGTCTTAGAGTTCACATTGGAGCTCAGTGGTTGACTGACTGCTATACTAGTCTAGCTAGGTTCATTCCCGAAAAGAATAACAGGCGTAGTCAAGGATCTAATGATCCTATTAGTGAGAGCCTATCATAGTGGTATTTGGGCGCTCTTCTTTGTCCCCACCCCTTTTTTAATTAAAAAAAAAAAAGAACAATTTAGAGCTGATAAGTACTAAATATTCAAATAACAGCTTGCAATAATTGGAGGAAGACGCAAAAGTAAGGAATGAAGCCTTTGAAATGATCATCGACAGTGGCCTTAGCAATTCAAACTACTTAACAAAAAATATATAAGCTCAACTCTCGAACAAATTTTTTTTTTGGTTCAAAAAATCCATATTCAATTACCATCGCCAGCCTTAATCACCTTCTTCTATAGAAACAATGCAGCAATAAGAAGTATAGAAGAAAAAATTATCAATTGTTAATATACAATTAAATAGTACCAAAATCAAGCAATCACGCTCAACTCAAAGGTCTTTTAATCACAAAAGTATGAAACTCAAAATAAAACTTCACAAACTATAACTTAAATGATTTTGTAATTGCTATTTCAATTCAATTGAATCAAAATAAATGCAATTATATATCCAATTCGAACCGAACCTCAAGTTATAGTTGTTCAAATATGCATCAAATCAAAGTTTCTTACCGTATTCTAAAATAATATAATCAAACCAAGTTCACAAAATCCAAAGTGAACTTAATCAAACCGAGTTCACAAATCTAAATTAAAGCTAATTAAATTGAATCCAAATTCAACCTAATCAAACCAAATTCACAAAATCCAAAATTGAACAAAATCCAAGATAATTGTGTGTGAAGGAAATGGTGTGTTCTAATTTCCATCATCCTAATTCCAATAATCCTAATTACTTTAGCTCCAATTACTCCCAATCTTAATTCAAACATATAATTCTCAGTTACTCCAAA